ATGAATGGGCATAAGAAAATATAGTCCTGGTGTAGTTCAGTACCTACAAAGAACTATTTTTTGTTTCCATAGTAGTGGAATTGAATAAGGAAAGTCTGATTAATCATTAACCTAGTCCCTGTAATGTTTAAACAACCTACACAAACAAAAACATCTATCTTTAGAATTTCAGTCATGCATTCAACAGATATTAATGCCTGTGTTCAAGGCACTGATGAGTAAGGCACAGTACCTACCTTCAAGCACTTTCAAGAAGTAAAATGGCTTTATTTCAAGAAGAAATCAGTCTTCCTTAAATTATAGTAGTTTGCGATCATTGACAGAAACAGAATACTATGGATGTTTTGATGTGAGGGAAATTAAACAAGCTGGAGGAATGTAATGTGGAATCTTTTCATCAATTCTGTTACTTGGTTGAAAGGCTTTTTTTTTTTTTTTTTTAAAAATAATAAAGAACTTCTGCAAAAGGAAGAATAGATCTTAGGGATTTTCCAAGTAGTTGAAAATTGGATATGTAATAGCTATATCATTTTTACGATTTAAAACTTTGAATTAAAAAATATATGTATTTTTAACAAGTGCATTTTTATCCTTTGGTCTATACTTTTTTCATTTTCATTATCTTGTCTAAAGACGTGTGTGTAACCAGTGAAATATTTGAATACTCTGTATGAACGTAGCACTTTCATTCACATTTCCCTCCCCACTAAAAAAAAGTTAGCTATTAACAGGTAATGATGTCATTCAATATCAATTTCCTACCAAGACTGCTTTAAATAAGCAAGTAGTGGCAGGGATTTATTTGACCTTTAGTTCAACCGCATAAATTATTTAAGCTACAACTTTAAAGATAGTGTTGATTTTTATTAGCTATTTAGAGAAAATGTACTTTCACATAAATATTCCTACAACAGTATATAAATGTGAAAATTTTTTAGTATGAGAAATGTTCATCTGCAATTCTGTCTTACTATTTGTCAGTAAAATTGAATTAAACATGAAGAACTTGGTAGAGTTAAATTCAGTTTTCTGTAGTCCTTGGTCCTTTTTTTAAATTTTTCAAACTGGTGAAAATATATACAATAAAATCATCCTTAGTTCAGCAGTGTTTACATGTACATGTTCCATTCAATATTTGGTAGTGTGGTGGATCCATGTGATAAGCACTGGACTGCAAACCACAAGTCTGCAGTTCAAGCCCACCAGCCGCTCTGTAGGAGAAAGATGAGATTATCTGCTCCCATAAAAGATTAAAAAGCCTTGGAAACCCTATCCTGGATTGCTATGTGTCAGAATCGACTTAATGGCACTTACCAATAATAATAACTTTATATGTTGTTGTTAAGTACCATTGAGTCGATTCGAACCCATAGCAACCCTATATAGGGTTTCTGAGGAGCAGCTGGTGAGTTTGAACTTTCTGACCTTGCAGTTCAAACAGTTTTGTGGTCTGGCCCATTATTGCATAGCACCACACCAGGACTCTACAACTCTATATACTTATTTATAAATGAGACCATCCCGTATTTGACTGACATTTTTGCTCAACATAATGTTTTTCAGGTTTATCCATGTGGCATGCATCAGAACTCCATTTGTCTTTATGGCTGAGTGAAATTATATAGATAATACCACATTTTGCTTATCCATTCATTTGTGATAATCATTTCCAATCCCTTGTTTTTTGAGTGTTGTAGGTGGTGGTGGTTATGTGCCATGGAGTCGGCTCCAACTCATAGCAAATAGGAAGGGTCTGAGTCAACCAGATATGGCACTGTGGGTTAATGTGTCAGACTGAAAAGCCATTTTAACTGCAAGGTTGGAGGTTCAAGCTCACCAGCTGCATCTCGGAAACCCTACACAGGGTCGCTATGGGTCGGAACCGACTTAATGGCACGTCACAACAACAACAACAAAGCCAATCAGAACAAAACTAAAGTTAACAGTTGTTGTTAAGTACCGTGGAGTTGGTTCCAACTCATAATGACCCTGCACAGGGTTTCCAAGGCTGTAAATCTTTACAGCAGCAGAAAACCTCATCTTTCCCTTGTGGAACCGCTGGTACTTTTGAACTGCTGACCTTGAGGTTGGCAGCCCCACTCCCAACCACTGTACTACCAGAGCTCCTTAAAGTTAGCAGTTGTTGTTGTTGTTGTTGTTGTTATGTGCTGTGGAGTCAGTTCTTACTCATACATACTGAATACATTATTCAGTAACCCAAAGTAGAAACCTTGGAGAACATCAGTGATTCTAATGTTCAGTGTGTCACCAAATTCTGCCAGTGTTATCCTCTAAATAGTCCCTCCTCCCACTCACCACTATCATATTTCAGACCTACCTTCATTCTTTTCCACGCGAGACAGCTTCAGAAAGTTTTTGAAAAAATGGAATAGAAAGATAATGAACTGGTCATCTTGCTTGGCCCATTCATCCGTCTACTATCACCAGAATTCTTACCCTACGATGCCTGTTAGTCATGTGATTCTTTTGCCTAAAAACATTGATTCCATGTCATCTTTTGGATGAAATCCAAACTCACAAGTGTGCACTGGCTATTGGTTCTCTTTGTAAAGAGTGGACGTTTGCTCCATTTGCATTGAGGCTACACTGGGATTCTTTCATAGATCCTTCTCTAAGTGTTTTCCTTCCTTCTGTAGGCTAATAAATTTGAGTTCTCTTGCTTCACTCTTCTGTTGTGTCAGTGTTAAAGAAAGTGTAGTGGTTACGAATTGGGCTGCTAATCCCAGGGTCGGCAATTTGAAACTACCAGCTGTTCCGCGGGAGAAAGATGAGGCTTTCTGCTCCTGTAAAGATTTATAGCCCCGGAAACCCTGTGCAGGGTCACTATGAGTTGGAACTGACTCCATGGTACTTAACAACAGCAACAACAACAATTTATTATTTGTTGGAGTCCTGGTGTGGTGCTGTGGGTTAATGCACCAGGCTACAAAGCCATTTGAACTGCAAGGTCGGTGGTTCAAGCTCACCAGCTGCTCCTCAGAAACCTTATACAGGGTTTCTATGAGTCGGAACTGACTCGACAGCACTTCACAACAACATTTCTTATTGTTGGGCTATAAGATAAGCACTGAACTGCAAGGTCACTTTGAATTGCAAAGTTGGTAATTTAAACTCACTAGCTGCCCCTTGGAAACCCTGTACAGACTTGTTATGAATCTGAACCAACTCAACAGCATTTAGCAACAGTAACAACACTTGGTAAGGGTTCTCTAATTCTTATAACAACTCTTTGGAGTAGGTACTATTATTCCCATTTTACAGAGGTGGAGACTAGTATTTCCACGGTCCCATGGCTTGTAAGTAGCTGGATGGGATTCAGAGGGTCTCTTCTTTGTAATGGAGACCTGGTGTGGTTCTGTGATGCACTGAGCAGGGCTTCTGTTACCCGTTCTGAAGGTTGCTTGCATTCTAACAGAGGACAAGACTTCAGTCAATGAAGTGGATATCTAATTGTGAATGGGAATTTAGAAATTACTAAACTGATTGAGGGAGTTTTTGTTTGTTTGAATAAAAGACATCTTTGTCTTTATAGCCCTGAAATAAAAACACACCATTAAACTACCTTACTTGAAAGTGTTTAGATTGAACTTTTCCAAGATTTTGGATAATAAAAGAGGGCAGAGGTGCTCTTATTTCCACTAACTTGAGATACAGCTAATGTTAAAAAAATCACCCAAATTTGAATTATACAATTTGGTAAGTGTTGACATTTGTATTGTTGTTGTTTTTAAGACATTTGTATACAATCTTGAAGAATCCTGGAGTGGTGCTGTGGGTTAATGCGCCAGACTGCAAAGCTGTTTGAACTGCAAGGTCCGTGGTTCAAGCTCACCAGCTGCTCCTCGGAAACCCTATACAGCGTTGCTATGGGTCGAAACCGACTCGACGGCACTTAACAACAACATACAATCTTGAAATCACTACCACAATCAAGATAATGATCATATCCATGTCTCCAAGTATCCCACCCCTGCAACTAATGATGTGCTTCCTTTCATTGTAGGTTAGTTTACATAGTGTAGTGGTTACGAATCAGTTTGTGAACTGCAAGGTCAGCAATTCGAAACTACCAGCTGTTCCGCGGAAGAAAGATGAGGCTCTCTGCTCCTGTAAAGATTTACAGCTTCGGAAACCCTGTACAGGGTCGCTGTGGGTCGGAACCGACTCCACGGCACATGACAACAAGAACATACCAATAGAGTTATATGTGTTCTTTTTTATCTGACTTCTTTAACTCAGCATAATTATTCTGAGATTCATCCATGTCGTTTTGTGTATCCTTTCTATAGGTACATATTTTGAATTAAATTTGTTAAATCAACGAAAGTATGCATATCTTTTTTCTTCATTGTGTCTTATGTTTGTTTAAAAAGGGTTTGGATATGACTGAAAATTCTCTTGAACCTAAAGTCCTTTTGGGGGCTTGGTTTTGATAGACTATGTTTAAGCCCTTTAATATTCCAATGAAAATGACTTATATATGCTTAAATACATTTTTGTTTTCAGTGTTCAATGTTTTTTACTGCACTGTACAGTCTAATATAAAACCAACCAGTTAAGACATATTTTACTTACTTTTGAAGTACACTGTAGTACGTCTGAATACTACATTCCTAGCCCCTCTGGGGAAATCTTGGGGGAAACCCTTCTGTTTGGTCACATGTGGGAAGTGGGTATCTCTGAAGTGGTTATCTCAGTCAGAGCTTCATGCTGGCATCAGCCATAGATATTAAGTGATAAAGTTCAAATCAAATCAATTAAGACTCATGTTAACACTACAGGAGCTCACCTTTCATGGGGAAAAGGGTGTCTTCTACTCAATCTTGTATAATTACATTATAATCTTGTTATTTCATGTTGAGAGGGAAAATCTGTTTTAGACTACTGCTTTAAAAAAGCAAAATGGTTAAAATCCATGATTATTGCTATCCTAATCTCACCTCCCTCACCCCCCCTTTTTTTTTTCCTTAAAATTTCAGGTGGGTATAACCCATATATAGAAATAATTGAACAACCCAGGCAGAGGGGCATGCGATTTAGATACAAATGTGAAGGGCGATCAGCAGGCAGCATTCCAGGGGAGCACAGCACAGACAACAACCGAACATATCCGTCCATCCAGGTAATAGACCTTCTCCTGTGTGCATCTCACTTTAGTTGCTTCCTGTTTTAGTTATAGCAGTTACATTTAAGACCCAGTTTCTTCAGGTCATCTCCATGGTCTTTTCCTTTTTCTCTTGCTTATTGATCTGTACTGGATGTCTAGATATACAGGGTCATTTTGTAAATATCAGGTCAATTTTTACCTCTGTAGATAACTGAAAGGGTGGCAATTCAAATCCTCTCAGAGGTGCCTTGAAAAAAGGTCTGGTGAACGACTCCTGAAAAATGAGCCATCGAAACCTCTATGAAGCACAGTTCGGCTGTGACACATATGGGGTTGCTGTTGAGTCATAGTCCACTCGATAGCCATTGGAGATTGGTATGTAAATTATCAAATGTTGTATGTTGTTGTGTATTCAGTCTAAGCAGAGTGAGTCCCAGTGCTTATTGTACACTGGCAGCTCTAGAATCATGACCGTTTTCATAGGACACAGAACTAATGAGGAAAAAGCACTCTCTTTCTGGATGTATTTAACAAATTGATATGTAGATTAAAGATACAGATTCATGAATTCAATTAGAATAATTCTTCGTTGTAATAGAAGCTGTGGAAAAGGAGATCATTTTTCTCCTCGCTCCTTGCCCTGGTACTCTATCTCATACTGACTGATTTGATATATTGTCACTTTTCAAAGACAGTTTAAAAAAAATAATAGCATATTTGGTGACATATGCTAGCTTCATGGTTATAAATATACTATATGTATATTTTAGATGTATTTGGTATACTCTTAGTTGATTATTAATCTCTTAACCTTTAAATGCCAATTAAAAACCTTAATGGGAGCCCAGTGGCTTTGTAAGATCAACACTGGACTGCAAATCACAAGGTCAGTGGTTTGAGCCCACCAGCTGCTCCTGAAAAATGAGGCTTTCTACTTTCAAAAAGTTTACAACCTTGAAAACCCTATCCAGGATTGCTATGAGTCAGAACTAACTTGATGACACCTAACAACAACAACAACACCAACAAAACCTTAATGGCACAGTAGATTCTGGAAAATACTCAATCTCTCGTTAACGGATTTTAAATCTTAAATTTTAATTTTAAATTTAGTTTAGTTTTTTTTTTTTTTTAATTAAATGTTTTTATTTTGGATTGAGTGAAAGTTTACAGGGCACATCATCAGCTTCACATTCAACCATTCATATAGCTT